ATCATGGACGAATGACGGTAAAAAGCTAGTCCAAGAGACTCGAATTCGAGTAGGTAGCTGGAACATATGCACTTTGGCAAGGAAGTCGATGGAACTAGCGGATACCCTAAAAGAGGAGAAGAGTTGATAGTGCATGCAAACTAAATGGGCAAAAGCCTAGAGAGATAGGTAACACGAGTTATAAATTATGATATTGCGCGATAGATAAAAATATGAATGGGTTGAAAATTATTATAGAACCAGGACTTAAAGATAAAGTTATAGAGGTAAACGAGTTGGGGATAGGATTATTGCATTAAGGCTTGTATGGGAGAAGGAGATAATCAATGTCGTTAGTGTCTGCTCCGCAAATAGGATTAAAGTAAATATATAGATGCCTAATCCATGTATTACAAACACTCATATTGTTATTCCATATTCTATGCCGCATAGAATAATACATAGATTCTCACATAAACTTATGGAGGTATTATTTATGAGGAAAAGAAAGTAGCAACCTAACATTGTATTAACAGTGTTGGTGTTTACGAGGAGATAAAATCTCCTCGCTACACCAACCAGTAGCGCCTAACGGAATAAGTAATAAATAGCCATGCTTACCTTACTGATGAAGTACCTGGACTTGTTATGTCTAATCTTTTAGCATTCGTAAATGTGAAACTACTTTATCAGCATAGCTAAAACACTTTATAAGCACACCAGTAATTCACATTCATGTAGTAATACTAAAACTACTCATTTGGGTCTTAATCAATAGCAACAGTACAGAATCACATTATATTCTTAGTGTTGATCTTCTTTTCCAATATAGGACAATACCCCCGGCCCCTTTTTCCATCTTACCAATACTAATTACGCATAGTTCAACCTATCGAAAAAGACTGGCACCGGCTACAAGAAAAGTGCTACATTTGTTTCATTTGCAAGCTTGAGACTTTTGGCAATCACAACCACAACATAAAAGAGAAAGAGCAAGACATATTTCCACACAAAGACAATAGCAGGACTGACAGAACATGAGTTCATTTATGTAATAACATCATATTTTACTCACTTAAATACTAAAATGGGTTTGTGCCAATCAAGCAAAGCTTCCATATGGCAGTAGTCAAAGTTGCTATATGCTGTTGGTTGTCCTCAGCCAAGTGTAATCAAGGATTTTTAATCAAAACATTCCAGTTTCCTTTTATGATCCCCTTTTATCAGTTTACATTTTCCCTTCTTTCTCTTCCTAGCAGCCCTTTCACCCAGAACATCCTTATCTATTCTATTCCCGTACTTCAGCTAATATAGTTGCAGCAGACGTGCATTGTAATTGCTGTGATATACCAGGATATATGTGAATTAATGCACTATTTCATAATCACTATATTGTAAAGATAGACCAATCACTTAATCAGTTATGTCTGCGTCGCAAACTAGTAGCATTCATTCTGCTCTATTCACGCCCATATTGTAAATAGATAATCTTCAAATTTTCCAGATTTATTCAATTAACCTGCATTCTTTCCACTTGAACAAGATCACAAGGGTACTATAAAAATGAAAACTTTTTCTTTTCCTTTTTTCCAAAAATTTGACAGACAAATGCATATCCACATATATTTGCATATATAGTATATGTGTGTTAAAAATAACGAGAGGATTGAAACCTGAAGGAGGGAATGGGGATCAGGGGCATTAGCAATGGCATCAGAAAAAGGCTCCCAATCCTGAGTCAACATTCCACCACTTGGATCTGCCACTTTGATTCCATTGTCTGATACTTTGTTGTGTGATGCAGTAATCATCAAACCGATCACTGATCCAGTCTTCAACGACCTCAATGCCGCTAATATCCCCACCCTGAACACCGTCGATTCGAGCAATGATGCATCTGCTCTGAAGCCAGCTGTCCCATAAGACAGCTTCACCCCTGTTCAAACATTTTCAAATAAATCTATCAACAACCAATCAACAGCATCACGATCCTGACCTAGTTGTATCGGTTTCTATGAATCATTTGTATCCAGTCTGCATCTACTTGCACTCATTTTGGTTCACACATTTCAACGAAAATCAGTCACCAATCAATCAATTGCCTCAACCCCAAATTAGTTAACGCCTGCTATATAAATCAATCAATAGTCAATCAACAACACTTTGATCCCAAACTAGTTGGATCGGTTTTTATGAACCAGTTGTATCCACTCTGCATCTACTTGGACTCATTTTGGTTCATACATTTCAAAAGAAAATCAATCAACAGTCACAATTACGCGCCAATCCCATATTAGCTAAGGCCTGCTATATATAAATCAATCAACTAACACCTTGATCCCGAACTTTATATTTTTGCTCTATTCAGACTCATAAAGTTCATACATTAACAACAATCAATTAATTACCATCCTAAAGAACCTCTTTTCATTTGGATACCAAAAAAAATTTTTTGATCTTTATGACAAATTACTGATTCTTGAGTGCTTTTTCCTAAAAAAAGGTGAAATTGAGAAACCCAATTGGAGAAAGATTGGACCTTTGGGAGGAGGGAAACGAGCGGCCGATTCGAGCAGAAGTGATTGCTGCTTTTCTTTCATCCTTTTCTGAGCTGAGAGCAATGTGTTTGAGTTGATGCTGCTTTCTGGTTTGCTTTTTTTCTTTTTTCTTTTACCCCCTTTAAATTGTGATTAAATTGTCTTTCATTAACATTAATAGGTGTAGTGGGATAATTGGATCTATGACTTCGTGGTATAGTTAATATAGTTTCTTTATCACTTTTAATCAGAAATCTCTTTAATTAGAGAATCTTTGAATAGTGAACTAATTTAGATTAGTATGCCTTTGTTTTCTTTCTTTTTCCTTTTTCTTTTCCGGTGAAAACTTTGACTTGGATTTAATAATTAAAGGCTCAATTTTTCATTTTGACACTTTAACTCAGTCTTGTTTCATTTTGGCCCTCCAACCCCATTTTTTTGTTCCACTTTGACACAAAAGCTGACTAGATTCCATGTGTGATTTGCCTCTCCCTTGTAGGCGCGTGAGAGTCATTTTTTAAGCCAAATTTCATACTCCCAACGTAGAGGCGAATCCAGAATTTAAATTCTATGGATTCAATTTTAATATTTTTAACATTGAACCCATTATATTTTTAAAGCTATGGGTTTATATCTATTTTTTTTTACAATAATGAATTTTTACTCCGCGTCAAAAGTTACCATTTCAGTTGAACCCGTAGTTATTACTGAAAATATATATAAAAAAAAATTTCCACGGGAGGGGGGGGGTCAGAAAAACGAAAAAAATAATAATTTGAAATTACAAAAAAAAAACTTAGACAGGGGTGGGGGGTGGGGCTAGC